GTTCTCTCGAATATAAGAAGAAGGCCTCATGAAGCAGGAGTTGATTAGAGATGATTTACTAGCCTAAGCCAGAAAGCTCCTGAGGAGTTCAACTCCTGTCATTTGGTGGACAGACAAAGCATACATTCTGGAAGCTTTGTCCCACTAACTAGGAAAATTAGAACTCCCTGATTACAAAAGAGAAACCCAACCTGAACTAGCATGACCAAAGGAGGCTTACTGGAAGGCTCGCATGCCTGTCTGGGAAGAACAGGGCTGCTGCTGACATCGGCTGGGGAGGACCAAGCAGACACTCGAGACTTCTCTCTCTCTCCCTCTCTCTTTCTTTCTTCCCCTCCCCCTTCTCCTCCTCCTTTCCTTCTCCTTCTCCTTCTCCTTCTCCTTCTCCTTCTCCTTCTCCTTCTCCTTCTCCTTCTTCTTCTTCTTCTTCTTCTCCCCCCTGCATTTCTCTACCTCTCTGTGACTGGCTTTATCTTCTCCAGACAGGTTTTATCTATTTAGTGAACTAGAGTTTATCTTCATTCCTCAACTTAATCATAAGAGAAGGATTAGCTCTCTCTACCAGATTCCAGGGACAAATCCCCCAAGCAGTGATTCAGTTGACCTCATGAAAGTCAAGTACCTACTCCTGGGTGTTGAGGGGCAACCACTGAGGCCCTTACAGTCACCCTAATTCACATCGATACATGGGACAATGGGCAAGTGCCTTAACTTCTCGGAGTCGTGAAAAAGAAAAATGAAAAAGCTAGTGGGAAGGGCAAAAGTAATGCCTTCTTCAAAGAGCTGTTGGTCAGGCTGGGGATGTGGCTCAAGCGGTAGCGCGCTCGCCTAGCGTGCGTGCGGCCCGGGTTCGATCCTCAGCACCACATACAAACGAAGATGATGTGTCCGCCGAGAACTAAGAAAAAATAAGATAAATGTTAAAATTCTCTCTCTGTCCCCCTCTCATTCTCTAAAAAAAAAAAAAAAAAAAAAAAAGTGCTGTTGATCGTTTTACATAGACAACCAATGCCAAAGGCTGCTATAGTGTCTGCTCTATATGAAGCATCAATAAATGTTCATTTTTCTTCCAAGGTGAGTCTTAAAGTCAAAGAAGAAGTCAGCATGTTAAAATGGAGAGGAAAATTACTTGAAGAGCAGGGAATCGGATGGGAAATGCTATACAATTCAGAGTAAGAGGCACTACAGGAGTTGTTAAAAAGAGGGTAATTGAGCCTTAAATCATTCCCACCCCTAAATCACGCACAAGATCTGTGTTCTAGAAAAAGGGGGGGCTAGCATCAGCTATTGGGAACCTGGAATGTCAAGTTGACCAGTTAATCTGCAGCTTGTGAGACATTCTTTGCTATCGAGGGGAAGATTATTTCAGTCAAATAACATTTTAGGGCCAATATAAAAAGAATTGTAAAAGATTCGGGGTTTGATGAAGCCTGAGAAGCCAAAGCTGCATTTGCTCCTATTCCCTTTATAACGTTTTGGAGTCAGGCCAATGAACATCCCCAGCTGTGCAGCTGGATAACTTGAATTTACTACGACTTCTGCAAAAATGTTCCCTATGTTGTCTTCCCTCATACATTTCACCCTTGAGTTTTATGAGAGGAAAAATAGACTTCATATTATATATTTCTAGGTAAGATTACTATACCCGTGGAGCACAAAACCCAAGATGGTAAAATTTCCAGTTTCCCCAAACCTTTAAGAGTTTAGTGCATCTAAGACTTGGTGTTTTTACCAATTTGACTCACACCAACATCTGTTCTTGATAAAATAATATGAAATGTAATATCTTAATGGTGGCCCAGAATCAAATTCTACCCTCTCTACCCTCTCTCCTTGTTCCTTGTCCTTTTCTTTGGTATTCCCTACAGCATCCAGTCCTCCGGTTTTTAAATGACCATAAAATCTAACAATGCGCTAGAATTCACCTGTTCGAGAAACCAGCTTTTCATTTTCTTAAACACGCATGGGTTTCCCATAGCAAGCGTCACACTCTCTGTCACCCGTGGTGTGCGGAATCTTATACAGTTGAGCTCGAGACTTGTCAGGTTCAATCTGTCCCTGCAACTTTGACTCAGCCCAGACCCTGGCTCCAAAACCTCCCAGCTCCACGAAGCTCCAATTCCAGCACACAGTCATGTTCTCTTTTTTTTTCTTATAGCATCGGTACTTCGATCTTCCTCAAAGCCTGCCTAGTGCTGCAATTTAATTTTACATGCATATGTCTGTATATTTGGGCAGCACCCAATACAACGCCTTGCACCATGCACCGTGGAAGCTCTGTAAAATGCATGCGTGAGTGCGGAGTGTGTTGAATGTCCTTCCACCCAGGCTGGCATTTCAGTCTCTGGGCACTAAGGTCTGTGGCAGGCTTGTGTCTAAAAACAGCAGATTGTGACTCAACCCTGTCAGTTACTTTTATATCAAATTGCCTGATGGACTGGAGACGCTAAGCACGACATGAGGACATAGAATGAAACAGGGTGCCATCACAAGATGTATTTAGCTGTGGCCCTGCATAAGATGGGGACAGAGACAAGAAGATGGTCCAGATCCTGGTCCAAGAACTGAGTGATCTGCCTTGTGTCCATGATCAATCACAAAACAAACAAGTCAGGCACCGTAGCACTGGTCTGTAATCCCAGCAACTGGGGAGGCTGAGTCTGAAGGATCCAGAATTCAAAGCCAGCCTCAGCAATTTAGCAAGGCCCTAAAGCAACTTACTAAGACCCTGTCTCTAAATAAAATATTAAAAAGGGCTGGGGATGTTGCTCTGTGATTATGTGCCCCTGGGTTCAATCCGAGGTACCAAAAAAACAAAAAACAGCTTCTACCTTCTGAAGCAAGTCATATCAACTCCCCCCACCCCAACCCCAAACCCCAGTACTGGGGATTGAACACAAGGTCACTCTACTTCCCCAACCCTTTTTATTTTGAGACAGGCATAGGGTCTTGTTATGTTGCCCAGGATGACCTCAACCCTGTAATCCTCCCACCTCAGCCTCCCAACTTGCTGTGATTACAGTCGGCTAGGTCATTTTATCTTTCTCATCCCAAGAAAATTCATATAATTTACCAATATACATACAGGTTCCTACCTCTTCATCAGCAGAACACACTCCTGCAGGACTCAGAAGCATCTATTTGAAGTTCTAACTAACAGAATCATAGTCAACCTGGCACAAACCTGACACCTTAAGAGAAAAATTGCTTACAATCCCGAGGGCCACAGTGGGCAGGGCATCAAGATCAGAAGAGGTGCCAGGTGTGTGGTGCACTCCTGTAATCCCAGCGGCTCTGGGGGCTGGGGCAGGAGGATCTCCAGTACAAAGATCTCAAGGAGGATCTTCAGTAAAATCAAGGCACCAAACAACTCAGTGAGACTCTGTCTCTAAATAAAATACAAAATAGGATTGAGGATGAGGCCCAGTGGTCAAGTGCACCTGAGTTCAATCCCTGGTACCACCCCCAGAAAAAAAAAAAAAAAAAACAGGTAACCCTTAGAATTGGGGACCAGCTGTCCCCTCTCCATTGGCACACTGGACACCCCAGCATCCCTACACCAGAAACCAGCATGACTGGACGAAGGGGAAAAGAGAAACTTTCAAAGATTAAGTATTGACCAATAAGAGCCTGCACCAACTGTTTTAAACCAGAAAACACTGAGGTATCTGTCTTTAGCTTTCAAATTTAAATTCTTCCCCAGTTCTCAGATTATCTATTGGATGGAGCTCAATGGTTAAGTTAATAAATTGAGATCAGTTATACTTTATAAAAGAGAAATCTCTACAATATTGATTTGTTAAATAAAAATTACCAGAGGCCACTGTTTTGAACTGAGCTGTATACTAGGCTCCAACAGACTAGACTAAAAATCAAAAGGGGGTCACTCATGCTGAGGTTCCACCTCATCAAACCTAAACTTAGTTGTTACCTGGCCCTCTGAGAAATCAGGAGACAGATAACAGCTAAATTTCCCAAACAGACCAGTTTTTATTTGCATGAGAGTTGTAATCCTTTCCAAAAAAGTAACCTGAACTAACCCAATATTAACCAGTTACTCTTCTATTGTTCTCTCTCCCAATCCCAATGTTACAAAGAAAATAACTTTGAAATGACCAATCTACTTTTTAATTTTATTTTATTTAAACCTTCATTTATTTTTACGTGGTGCTCAGGATCCAGCCCAGGGCCTCACACATGCTAGGCAAGCTCTCTACCACTGAGCCACAACCCCAGCACCCCCAATCTACTTTTTGTTCTGAATTTCTGCTTTGTTCAACCCAGCTCAATCTCATTTTGCTTTGAGGAATGAAGTGTTGGTAAATACTAGAATACTGAATAAAGCCAATTAAGATGTTTAAACTTTCACATTATTTACTAGAAGAGCCAGTACTAATGTCTAAGGCTGAGTTTGAAAAAGAAAGAGGAACCAGTCTTGCACCTTTTTTTTGAACTCACAGCCTTGTGTATTCAGGGAAAGCACTCTACCAACTGAGCTATATCCCCAGCCCAGGTATTTCAATTTTTCTTTACTAATTATATTATTTTGCTGTTGTTGTTCGTAGTTACCAGCTCAACCATTAGTGACTCCAAAACTCTAAACCCAAATATTTGTTATTCTAACATAAGCTTGTGGGTCTGACTTTTCACTGTTTCTTACATCATTGGGGATTGAGCCCAGGCATACTGTACAACTGAGCTACATCCCCAGCCCTTTATTTTTTTTTTATTTTGAAACAGGGTCTCGGGCTGGGGATGTGGCTCAAGCAGTAGCGCACTCGCCTGGCATGCGTGCAGCCCAGGTTCGATCCTCAGCACCACATACCAACAAAGATGTTGTGTCTGCCGAGAACTAAAAAATAAATATTAAAAATTCTCTCTCTCTCTCTATCTCCTCTCTCACTCTCTCTTTAAAAAAAAAAAAATTAAGAAAGAAACAGGGTCTCATAGCTGGACGTGGTAGCACATGCCTGAATTCCAACGGTTCAGGAGGCTGAGGTAGGAGGATTGCAAGTTCAAAACAAGCCTCAAAAAATTTAGTGAGGCCCTAGGGAATTTAGGAAGAGTCTGTCTCAAAATAAAATAAAAAAGGGCTGGGGATGTAGCTCAGTGGTTATGAGATAGCAAAACCAGACCTGGTTGTAAAATGAAATCACAAGAATGTTATCATGAGAAAGAAACACGTCTGGGAAAGGGTCAGAGTTCCCTCCACCACCACCACCATCCTTCTGTCAGCCTTTCTTCAGGAAACCTAATTAACCATAGGTCCCTACCATTTGGATTGTAAATAACTGTCTCTAGGAATCTGACTACTCTCTTTTGAAACGTAAACACCCCTGGACCAGGCTTCAGACACAAGGCCAAGGATTTATTTATGCCTGTGCAAAGAGCCAGTTCCTCCTATCGCTTTTTTGCTTCTGTAAACACACTTCCCACTAGAAACCCGGCACAAGGCTCCTGTCATGTAGGCTAGGAATTTTTTGGCACAAAATTGCCTATAAATGTTATGAGAAACTATGGGCCAGCGCGCAGAATTTAGAGTTTGTTCTCCTCTGTGCCGGCTGGAGTAAAATGAAGCATGAGTTCTCCGTCTTTCCGAGTCCACTTGCTGCTGCTTGTCTAGCTGGCTTCCTGCAACGGTGACCGTCCTGGGTTCAATCCCTGCTACCAAAAACAAACAAAAAAAAAAAACATGGTCTCACAAAATTGCTTAGACTGTCCTCAAACTTTCAGTACCCCCTGCCTCAGCCTCCCAAGCAGCTGAGATTACAGGCATGTGCCACCATGCCCTGCTCACTTGGCATTACAGACAATGCTTCCAAATGTCACTGACGATGAGAACCAAGAGATGCCCCTTGATAAAACCAAGTTCTGGCTCCTCCCAGTCCCAGGAAAGACTTATTCAATAGATGAGGGTGGGACCCAGGAATCTGTTTTTTTAACACGTGTGGGAGGTTGGGAGGGGCAAAGCTAGGAAACACATCCTTTAAGGCAGTGGTTCTCAATGTGTGGTCCTGGAACCAGTAGCTAGGACAACACCAGGGAATTTTTTTACAAATGCAGATTCTCAGGTTCCATCCACCCTAGAAGTGCTGAATCAAAAACTGGTGGCTGGGGCCCAGTGGTATGGGTTTTAACAAGCCTTATAGGAGATTCTGTTGCACATTTAAGTCTATGGACCAGCGCCTTCAGGAAATGATAAGCAGGCAGTGAACAAAATTTCTTAGCGTACCTAAATGCCACTCACCAATCCACAGCCACCCACACCCTCAAAATCAGCAAGAACCTACCCAGAGCCAGTCGCAATAGCCCATGACTATAATTCCAGCGGCTAGGGAGGCTGAGGCTGGAGGGTTGGGAGTTCAAAGCCAGTCTTAGCGATGACGAGGCGCTAAGCAACTCAGTGAGACCCTGTGTCTAAATAAAATACAAAAGGGTGCTGGGGATATGGCTCAGTGGTGTTGTGCCTCCTGAGTTCAATCCCCAGCACCAAAAAAAAAAAAAAAAAAAAAAAAGAACCTACCCAGCATCACTGTGCCCCATACTGATAGCTGGGGCAGAGATTCTCAGGCTTTGCAGCAGATTAGAGTTACCCGGAGAGCTTGTAAATTTCCAGCAACCCAGGTAGCTTTGAGGGTGAGGCCACAGATCAGCATTTGTTTAAGACAATCAGGTGACTCCAAGGTATGGAGGCATGTGAGAACCACTATCTCAGCACCTAAATCCCAGAGACCAGACCTGCCAGAAAAGGTACAGGCTGGCAGGGAGCTTTCTCATTTATCCAGGGTTACAAGAAATGTCTAGGAGTAAAGACATGCAGGAATGTTTTCTAGAAGTCACTGGAGAGTTTGAAACACGCTCACCCTCTTGAGGGTTCCCCAAGATTCAAGAAGTGGATCAATCAGAGCGGGAAGGATAGACATTCTCCCCTCCTCCTCTTGACCCTTTCTGAACCCACTTGAGCACTATTAGCACTTTAATTAACATCGGCCTCCCTGAAGGGGTCTGGCATACAGTGACTGAGAGCAGGTCTGAGTCCCAGGGCTCTGGGTGCAGAGTGACAGGAAAATGGGGGTAAGGAAGTGGGGAGGGGTAGGAGACTAGGAGGAAAAAGGGGAGGAGGGGGAGAGCTAACCTTAAGAGGTTCCCATATGCCAACCTGGGGCTTCAGTCATGTTCTTGTTTAACAAGACTCCATTTTGCAGTGAGCCATCTGAGGCCAGGGGAGGTCAACTGGCCCCAGGTCACATCTGTAAGCGACAAAAGCATTCACCAGTTCAAATTTTAAGGCTCTGGATGGATGCCAGAGGGCAGGAAAGAGACTCTGAGAGGTGAGACACTGAACGAGGGTGAGACAGCTCAAAATTGATCCTTACCATCTAGATGAATCCAGGTGTCATATTCTGGATTTGGATCATGGGAAAGGAACGGGGGTTCCTCTGGTGACTAGAGCAGGAGTAAAGGAGAGTGCGCAGTAAGGGGTCAGGGCAGCAGCCACGTACCAATATACTGGGTGGATTTCCACATTCAAACAGCTGTGCCACAGCATCTGTGTGTAGCAACAAAATACCAGCCCCGTTTTGACCTGGTGCGGATGGAGAGCGCAAGGATTTTTGTGGCTTAGGAGATTTCAAAATTTTAAAAGCCCTTTGTCTTCTTCCTTAACTCATCCTTAATGAGGTCCCAGATGTCTCCACTGGGCCACAAGCACAGCATATCTAACTGCATTCCTGAAGACACAGTCCCCTCCCCCACACCCCCTCCCCAGAAGGTCCATCCTGGGACTCTGTGTGGAAGCTGGAGTAAAGGATTGTCACACGGGAAGAACCTGAGTGTGGAGGGCAGGGGAGAGGATTCCTAAGACATTGCACACATTTATCTCAAATTTCCCGTTTGAGCTGAGGAAAACACACTCAGGGGCACGTCATTGCTAGGCAAGATAATCTTTGTTTCTCGTTAACTGAGAGCAAAGGTCGCCAAGCCTGGAGAGAGTTGACCTGAGGGAAGGGATGGGACAAACTGAAGAGTCTAAGGAGAAAACAGCAAAAACAAATCGTGAGTTTCCCCACTTGAGTGATGTAAGTCAAAGGGTGGGATAAAAAGTGATCAGGGGAAAGATGGACTGATGTAGTTTGTCATGCAAGACTATGGCAATTGTTGAGATTTAAGGAAAGCAGAGAGCAAGAAAACAGCATCCAATGACAGCACTCTTGTCTGTCAGTAGCTACAGGGTAACAATGAAAATTCAACTGTTCAGATGTAAAATTCACCTAAAAGCGAAAGATCAGCACTGTCAAGATCAAAATTATCGATACAACATTTTTAGTAATGACAGCTCAAGTCCATGAAATGCTCAAAGATCCTTTGTGAAGCGGTGGAATGAAACTCCCTCACCTTCTACTGCAGGAAAATGTCGAGGACATTGCCTCAACTTAGGACAGGCCCCATAAATAACTGCTTCTTTCTTTTTACTTTTTTTTTAAGCTAAGAAAAGCTTTCTTTCTCTTGAGGAAACAATTTTTTTTTCATTCCTGAGCATGATAGTCCATCTCTCTTTCTCTATCTCCCTTTTCAATTTTTAAAGCTGTTAGGAATCTCAGGGAGGAAAAAAAATCCATCTTTCAAAGAGTCTTCTAATAATTTCAGAATCGTTTTAGCTTTTTTTCAGACACAACTAGATCACATCGTCATTTATTTACTGTGTGTGTGTGTGTGTGTGTGTGTGTGTGTGTGTGTGTGTGCACGCACGCACAAGCTAGAGACTGAACCCAGGGCCTTGCACATGCTGGGGCAAGGGCTCTGTCACAGAACTACACCCCCAGGCCCTGGTCATCTTCTTAGCTGCCTGAAGATAATACTCTTTTGACAAGCTAAACAGGCAGTTTCTTGGCAGGAATGCTTTTCAGCTACTACCCTCCCTTCCTGAGGATGTACTTAAATATGGATGATATAAACCAGAAATCCACGTAACTGGACACACATGTACAACAAGATGCCTCAGCCTGCAGAAAGCAACCAAACTAGCTAGGTGGCTCTGTGGGCCTCAGTGGTATGGAAGGTCTGCCCTGTGTGCCTCAGGGTCCTGTGCTTCTGTAAATGTCATAGGCCAGCAGCGTGGAATGCATGACAATCCATATGCTAAATATTACTAAATCCTGATGCCTCTCACTTTAGGAGGAAAAATGACTCTAACTAAACATAACTAAAGTTCTAGTATAAACACTCATTTTCTTCCCATGCAACTAATTTCACATGCATACACTACTTCTGAATACATCTCTCTGTGCCTCTATCCATTTTTACATTTTTCTAGTGTTGATTTACATATTTTCCCTACTCTCATTTTTCCTCCCTGTGGGACTGGGGATTGAATCCAGGGCTGCTTTGCCACTGAGCTATATCCCCAGTACTTATTTTATTTGAGACAGGGTCTTGCTAAGTTGCTGAAGCTGGCCTCCAATTTATGATTCTCCTGCCTCAGCCTCCCAAATTGCTGGGATTACAGGCATGCACCATGGGATCCTGCATTTTTTATTTTTATTTATGCTAACCATTACTTTTTGCCTGGGTTCTTAGTAAACCCTTTGTGGTACAAGAGTACACATTTCAACATGCTGCAAACAGAATGGATACAAGAAACTGAAAGAACCCTTTTCTTCTCTATGGCCATCTTGGTTTTTGTTGTTTTTTGGTACCAAGGATTTTGTTTTTGATATCAGGGGTGCTTAACCATTGAGCCACATCCCCAGCCCTTTTTTATTTTTATTTTTTTTAGGGGGGTATTGGGGATTGAACTCAGGGGCACTCAACCCCTGAGCCACATCCCCAGCCCTTTTATGTATTATATTTAGAGACACATCTCACTGAGTTGCTTAGCACCTTGCTTCTACTGAGGCTGGCTTTGAACTTGCAATCCTCCTGCCTCAGCCTTCTGAGCTGCTAGGATTACAGGCATGCACCACTACACCCAGCTCAATGGCCATCTTGTTATCTTAGTGAAGACATATATTTAGGAATCTATAGACCTGGGGTCCTTCCAGGCACCTATCTCTCCAAACATTTCAAGATCACGTTGTGAATAGAAACTGAAATAGTAAGTCTTTAACAAGACATTAAGTATCTACCAAATCGAGATTATGATGGGTAACAGAGGGGCTGCGGTTGTAGTTCAGTGGCAGAGCGCTTGCCTTACACATGTGAAGTACTGGGTTCAATCCTCAGCACCACATAAAAATAAGCAAACAAAATAATAAAGATAAAAAAAGAAAGAAAACTTAAAAAAAAAAAAAAAGAAGAAGAAGAAGAAGAAGAAGATAGGTAACAGAAACCGGGCACCAGGGGCTGGGATGTGGCTCAAGCGGTAGCGTGCTCGCCTGGCATGTGTGCGGCCCGGGTTCCATCCTCAGCACCACATACCAACGAAGATGTTGTGTCCACGGAGAACTAAGAAAAAATAAATAAATGTTAAAATTCTCTCTCTCTCTCTCTCTGTCCCCCTCTCTCTCTCTCACTCTCTCTTAAAAAAAAAATTAAAAAAAAAGAAAGAAAGAAAGAAACCGGGCACCATGGTACTTTCCAGTTGTCCAGCTACCAGGACACCCAGGCAGGAGAATTGCTTGAGTCCAGGAGTTCAAGACCAGCCTAGGCAACATAGTGAGACCTCCATCTCGAAAGGAAAAAGAAAGAAAAAGAGACTAATTAGAATTAGGTTTGGTGACAGAAATTCTCAGAACAGTAACTTTAACTCACCAAGTTTAATTTTTACAGGGGGAATAAAAAAAAAAGTCCAGAAGAAAATTCATTTTATTCTGAAAGTTCCATGAAAATACCTGGATGCAGGTACCTTCCAGTCTCTCCTCCTCAGGTGTGATCCTAAGACAGCATCCAGAGTTATTACCACCATAAAACTTTCCAGGCTGCCCACAAGGGGAGGAAAGGGAAGGGATGGTATCCTAAAGGACACACCAAGAAATGTTCCACACCACTTCCTCTACATCTCACTGACAAGAATACAGTGTCCCCACATAAGCATGGGCAGAAATACAGACACCAAAAATCAGGGAGAATGGTTACTGGGAGAACAGCAGGCAGGATCTGCCACATTGTTTTACAAATTGAGATTTTCATTAGCAAAGTACAGGATCCGATATTAGACATGCATTTGGTAGATTCTAATTCTAGACCATCGATCAAGTTTAAAGTTTTTACTGACTCATTTTTTTGGGGGGGACGGGATTAGTTTTAAAGACCCATTATCTCTCATCACTTGGGGGTATTTAAATTAAGTATTATATGGGGTATACATTGTATATTACAGAAGCCCTAAAAAATACCTCTGTGAATACACAGTTAATTTTAGCCACGTGTTTAGATTTACTGAACGAAGAACTTTTTCTGTCTAATGGAAACCTGGCAAGGCTTTATACAATAAATATCTTCCTCAATAAGTACATCAGCTTTTGCAAACCTGATCCTCCTTCAAATGCTTGTGGGAAGCTATTTAATGAAACCCACAGTGAATTTTGGAGGGAAGACTTCCATCTTATAATGTGAATAATCACACTCTATACATCTGGATCAGAATTTGAAAGGTTCACTTATCAGATTGTCCTAAAATCAACTTGCAGGTGATTTTAGCAGACTCAAAGAAAACTTCTAAAACAAACTCAAAATGCAAATCTCATAATGGGTCATTATTTCCCTTTTGAAATCTCATCTCATCCACTGCTATAAAGATCCCACTAGACAACTAAAAATAAA